TAACAGGATGTGAAAAAACATTATTAACCATGTCAGTTTTGCAAATCACTTGATGATGATAGTTGATTCTCTGTGTTTTCACTATTTATTTGATGTATTAATTTGTCTGATTAGCCACCTAGAACTCTAGAATACGATGTTAGCAAGGCTGTGCTGCAGAGACTGAGCGAGGCTACAAATGATACCACAGTGGATCCCCACCTTGAGGAAGTTAATAACTCTAACATAGAGTCACTAATCAATCGAATCCTAGATTTGAGCCCTGAAGCATCACATCCATCAAGCTTGCCAGGTCTTGATTCCCCATGTAAGTATGTTTATAAAAGCAGACTTTTGGTTTTGTGTGAGTGTGGAGTACTTTTTTTTGTGTCTAGTTCTGATCTGTCTTTTACTCATGAGGTTTTAAAGAAGCATTTGGTGCCAGCTGTTGTGTGTACTACGTTTATGCTGGTATTCACAGCTTCAGATATTCCATCTATCCGCCACTTGCTTCCATTGTGTGTGACAGGGCTGTCCATGGTGCACTTTCTAGTGGTATTCTAGACTTATAAATAAATATGCTTTGTTAAAACAAATTTCTGTAACCTGTGGTGCCATTTCAATGGTTTGAAATGAATTATGTCCGTATTCCATAGTTGTGGATTTCAAGCTGTATGATAGATATGGCCGATAAGACACCTTTATTTGGGGGTGCCTCGTTGACCATTTCTTAGTGCGCTTGTTTCCATAGCGAGGCGCAAACGTCATCTGGAGGTGACAGGATCGATTCCTGGCACGGTAACTATAGCTTTCTATTTTTATGTTGTCTAGTGTGTTCTTCGATCTTTCTACTTCTTTCTATGAGGGCCGATCAGTACATTTTGTGTTACTTTAATAATATAGTCTAGACATATAATGATGTTCAAAGTATTTGAAATGTTGTCTCCTAATGTAGTTTGTTGCTTGTTCCATCCCAGCTTGTCTCTTCATTCCATCATTTCTAATCCTGTCTCTTCTTTTAGGGTACTTCAACCTTCTAAAACCTTATAGGAGGTTTCACAGGAAAGGACAGGTTGTAATTTAGGGACAGGCAAAGCTAGACTTTTCCATAATACATGGCCTAATTTATGTGAAGCACTGATGGCCACACATATATTGTAGTCCCTGACGTAGGATGACCTTAATTTGAGTTTGGCTAAGTAGTTTAGCTGTGTTTAATTTCTTACCAAGAAAAATAGTTCATTCAGGGAATAAATAATTTCTGTTCCTATTTATTTAAATGGAAAGGTTCAGTTTCTTTCAGAAATTAACATTAACCCCCAAACACCCATTTGATTTGATTTGATTTGATTCAAAAACAGACATCACAGCACTTGGGGCATTTCCATTAGCGCTCCCTCCCTATCTTCAGCAGCCAGCGAAGAGTTCCAATACTAATGGTGCCAGTAGCATTCTGATTAAACATCTGTCTTGCCTTTCCTCTCAGCCTCGAGCATCTGCCAGAACCTCTCGTCACTCCCAAATGCATCAATCTCACAACACTGTGGTGATCAATCTGCTCCTCCGACCTGTACAAGCTCTCCCACACGGCACTAACCACGTCTGCCTCATCATGCATCAGTATTCCACCAAGCTGTGCAGAGCCAGCCCGTCTGTCCGCCTGTTCATTTCCCAACACACCTAAATTACTTGGTGAAAAAATCCAGACAATACTCCTCACCTGTTTCCTCCGCAGCGAGGCATACCACTCTGCATGAAGCATGCCTGTCCTGATCTTCCTCAGCATGCTTTCTGAGTCAGTTACAATCACGATGTGTGTGTGTGTGTCCAACCACCCATTTCACTATATATTATAACTGGGTAAATTTTTTTTTTTTTTTTCTTCAAAATCTGTATATTACATTATTCTGAATATTTGACCCTGTCAAGAGTAGAATTATAAGTTGAGAATTACAGCAGACATAGCGTTAATACATACACATTGTCACCGATCATGAACATGGAGTCCAGCAGATTAAGATGGTTCAGTAATGGTAGATGCATGGGTCCACACTGAGAGACAGAGGAGATATATGTGATGCATTCCAAGGTACAAGACTAACATGATGACCATGAAAAACAGGGAAAGACATTGAGAAAGTAATCCAAATGGTCTCATTTCCCTAGGCTGGAACAAGATCACTGAGATTTAAAAAAATAGTAACTGAAGAATAAACAATAGATTGTAAATAATTTATTACTATTCAATATTTATATTGTTCCCTTCTTTTGCTTTTGCTTTGCATCTCCCAATGGTGCAAAGACACTTAACCAAATCATTCTGAATCTTTTATAGACTAGTTTATGATTTTGCAGTTAAGTTTTCTGCTGGATGAGATAGGTAGCCCCATGCCTGCCTTCCGTAGTGGCCTCTTGGGTCATGCATTTGCATCAGACAGGCACAGGTGATATATTATATTAAACTAGCTGTACCCGGCCACACGTTGCTGTGGCCCAGAATGGGGAAATAGAGAGGAAAGAAAATAGCTCTCATCTAACAGTGTCTGTCATACCCCCCCCCCCCTTTTTTTTTTCCTCGACCCACTTCATATCTGCCTCTCCGAAGGACTGAAAAATCATCCATGGCGAAATTTTTAAAATAGAAATAGTTTAGAAATGAGAACTTTAAAATAATATTTTAAGCTCTCTCATCTAACTGGCTGGCATAACTCCCCCCCCCCCCCCCCCCCCCCCCCCCCCCCGTTTCGCTCCCCCAATCATATCTCCCTCTCCGAAGGATTGAAAAAATAATCCATGGTGAAATTATTAAAATAGAAATAGTTAAGAAATGAGAACTTTAAAATAATATTTTAAGCTCTCTCAGCTAACTGTGTTTGCCATGTACCCCCCCCCCCCCTCCACCAATCATATTTCAAGAATTGAAAAATCGTCACCTAGCAAAGTCATATCTCCCTCTCCGAAGGACTGAAAAATCATCCATGTTGAAATTATTAAAATAGAAATAGTTAAGAAATGAGAACTTTAAAATAATATATTAAGCTCTCTCAGCTGTGTCCAGCATATCCCCCCTCCCCCTCCCCCTATCATATCTCCCTCTCTGAAGGATTAAAAAATCATCACCTGGTGAAATAATTAGAATAGAAATACCCCCCCCCCCCCCCCTTTCCCGCCCAATCATTTCATCCTCTCCGAAGGATGGGAAAGTCACAGGGTAACGAAATAGTGTAACTAAATTTAGCTTGTCATCTGTGTCCACCCAGAAATAGGTAGCATTAACTTGTACAGAGAAGTAAATATAACCAGTGTAACAGCTACCACATCACCTATCCAGTACCAGTACTACTGCAACCACTACCACCATCACAACAACAACAACAACCAAAACAGTCACTACAGTCTGTGTAGGTCGATGTAGAAAAGAGGAGTTAGCGCCGCATGCTGTCGCCACGGCCATTTAGTTTAAATTTGCCCCCTAAATAGGAAAAAAAAATTTTCATCATGTAACCAGTAATGGAACCCACAGTGAAAAGTACACTATACTCACGAATAGCCGAGAAAAATACCCTGCACCCGTCATCTCTCCCTCTCTGAGGGAGCATTTTTTAACAGAGCTTGGCATCCGTGTCCACCCAAACTAAACTGGACTGTAAGCCGTCTTAGTTAACAGTTTCTGTCATCGCCGAATAGTTTTAGATCGAGAAGCGTCGCGGGGAGGCTAATTAGGACCTAACTGAAATCAGATGTCTTTGGGCAAAAGACGCAGATATCGCAGCCTAGCTGTAAACCACAACGTGGCAACCACCCTTTTAAAGGGAAAAGAACAATTATCACCCAGCGGGAAATCGAACACCAGTCACCTGCGTGAAGGATGACATACTTACATCTATACTACCAACGACTGAAGAGTTTTTGGAGAGATATCGCAGCCTAGATGTAAACCACAACACAACGTGCCAACGGCCCTCTCGAGGGCGAACGAAGATTACCCATACATTACCATTGAGCATCATGTCGCCGCTGTCGCAGGCTAGTTGTAAACCCCAAAACCAAAAAAGGCGTAGGTATCGCAGCCTAGCCATAAACCACAACACAACGTGCCAGCCGCCCAGTTAAGGGCTAAAAAAAAGCGGGGGATCGAACACGGGTCACCCGCATGATAGGCAGAAGAGCTACCAACTACGCTACCAAACACTCAATCAGAGAGTGGAAATGAAATTATATAATAATGCAAAGTTTAATAAGAGCTCAGCAGTCAAATATGGCCATCAATTAAAAACAAATCCGGGCCGGCAACGAAACAAATAATGATTTGACCTTTGCTGGAGCTACGTCAGTCGTGGTTTGTGCGATTTTCTGAAAAAAAATCACGCTTTGAGTCAAAGGCAACGTTGTGTGCAAATTTGAAAGCAATCGGCTCAGTAGTTCCGAGTTTTTAAATAACAACATCGGAAAATTAACATGTTTATTATTATAGATGTAGCGTAAATTATGCTTTTCAAAGTCATCTATTTGTAATTGTACCAGTGTGTTGGGAAATAAACACCAAGATAGACTGGCTGGTTCTGCACCACTTGGTATTGAATTGAGGCATGATGAGCTAGATGTTATAAGGGTCTGTTGGGAGTGGGTAAACAGTATGGAGACACTAATAGATCATCATGACTTGAGAATGTTGCCACAAGGAATGACTAGGGTATCTGGCTGATGCTCAGAACTCAAGAGAAAGGCGAGATTGAAATACACTTAGATTGTTACTAATGCCACCAAAATTGTAACTCTGGGCTTGCTGCTGAAGATGGGGACAGAGTGCTTAAGGGAATGTCCTGAGTTATGTGATATCAGTTCTTAATTCAATATTCAACATTCATCTAGCTGTAAGTAATAATGTTACAGCTTATCTGACATCAGAAGATAGTTTAGATGAGAGGGAGGTGCCACCTGCCTTGCCACCAAGAGCTTGTTTATCTCCCCATCCCAACGGAGATCTCTCACACTCACAGAGCGAAGAATCCCGAAAGAAAATGGATGGGCATGAAATGCCTCCAGCTGTTCCTCCCAGACGAAAACTGAAGAAAAGTGATGTAAGTTTTTTTCTTTTTGTTTTTTTTTTCCTTTCTCATTCTTATGTTGTTTTTCACTCTAGTTTTCTGTCTGTGAGGGCAGATCAATACATTTTGTGTTACTTTTATAATATAGTCTATACTTATGATGATGTTCAAAGCATTTGATATGTTGTCTCCTAATGTAGTTTGTCACTTGTTCCATCCCAGTTTGTCTCTTCATACCATCATTTCTAATTCATTCCTTGGCTAATCAAAACCTATCCTCATATCTATATGTATTAAAGTTGGCTGTAGCCTACATACATTCTGCATCTCTAAATTTGCAATTATTTTGTTTATTGCTTTTGCTATTCTGTATGTTAATGCTTCTGCCAAATTGTCTGTTTTTGTATTTTCTGCATTTATGTTACCCTTTTGCCCCAAAAAGGCTGTCTCATTACTTCTGATAGGGACAGATTTCCTATAAATGCTGATATATTTGCATTTTTGCAGTGGTATATTTCTTGAAAAACAGTTCAACTCTGTTGCTTCTTTAGGTGTATGTGCAGTGTTGAGTGGAACTGAATATGAATATATTTACTAAAAGTAGCATTTAAAGTTTTTTTCTTTTTGAACCATATGGCTTTAAAGACATATTGACATCACATTTTCCATGTAACCTGATTGATAGAGGTCACATAGAGTCAAGGCATGCATATCTGATCCATATAATTTTAATGCCTAGGGAATTTATTCCATTTAATACTTCATTTTGTTTTTGATCTTTGATTACTCCCTTTATATTTTTTTATATTTTTTGAAAATGGTTTTATAAATATATAAACAATAATAACGGAGTGGCTGTTAACAAAGGGTATGTTTTTATTGTAGCCTGCTGTGTTGCTTGTTGTAGACTATCTTTGAAAGCTCTGTGTCTGTTCAATTAACTCTTTCAGTTTCAGGCAGCTGCTGCTTCAGTACCTTTGTTTCTCAGAATGTGTGGCCTTTAGAGCAGCAGCAGTCTTAGAGTGTGAAGGAGTTGAAATAATACGGCTGTGGGATAGATTGAGCTAATCTACCAACTGGATTAGAATAGATGGATGTAAGAGAAGAATGCGACTGAAGAAGTTGTATGTATACATCTGCATGTATACCATGCATATGAGGGCCAAGGAACCAACAGTCTGCACTCATATAAGCCAGGTCTGTAAAAATCGATGTACATGCAAAACTCACATACTGGTGCAAGATAAAGTCCAGAAATGGATGAGCAGCCAGAACTTTCTGCCGAAGTTTACAGCTGGTGAACGCCACGAAGAAGAAGAAGAAAAAAAGTAGTAGTATACCTTTCATAAAGAAACTAATAGTAATGAAACATATAACAGATACAGTTTATTATGTTCATTGTGACTGCTATAGATCACCATTGCCTAAGGTTTCATGGCTGAGTGAAACATACAAACACACAAGCACTCCAGCTGACAGTGGACCTATGATATGTGTACTTTATTGCTGGCATTCTGACTTCAGTTTTCAGAAGGCAAGTACGGACGGTGTTGAATGAGTTACAGACTGATACAATGATTTTAAATATATTGACATTAATGACATATTTTCTAAGGTCTTTTTTTTTATTTATTCTCAGCAGCAGCAGCAGCAACAGCAATCTACTCATCATGCAGCTAGTAATGGTCTGCCACCAACACCCCAGGTTCATGTAAGTAAATGATTCATGTATCTGATGGTTAATAGTTTGAAATCTGTTAATGAGAGTAGGACGTTTGTGTGGACAGCTTAGAAATAAATGATACCATGAAGGTTCTTTGTTTCTAGTTTTATGACATCAGTTTCTAGTTTTATATCATTTTCTAGTTTTTTTAGGGGGAAATCTATTTGGGAGAAACATAGTGATAGAATGGGAGCCACCATGGTAGCAGCCAGATGCTCGCCTGTGAATCTGAAGATCCTGATGGAGCCTGACATTTTTTTTCCAAGACACATTCTTGGGGTACATCATGGCGAGACTTTGTCCCCAATTAGTGTGTACTCAAAAGAGCAGGAATGCCAAAATGGGGGAGACGTGTCCCAACTAGCACAAGCAAAGATGCCTGTGCTAGTTGGGACATGTCTCCCCCATTTTGGACAGATACCTTCCAAAACTTCCCTCATCTGGCAAACTAGAAACAGGGACAAGATCTGCATGAAGGGCAAGGCTAGGATATAACGCAGATATATGCAAATGATGCTATAGATGCAAATGCGACTTGAAAGTCACCAACCTTGACACAGACATTTGGGAGAGATCAGCTACAAACTCCTATGGAGGCAGACAGTGAAAGACGGACTGTCACAGTTGGCAAGAGGCCCGGACTATCGCAGTTGGCAAGAGGCCCGGACTGTCGCAGTTGGCAAGAGGCCAAACACACGAGAGAAAAACCAGCCTTATTATAATAGAATATCAATGTTTTAATCAGGCCATTTGGCAGAAACTACCACTCATGCATCAGATTTTACAGTCATATCAAATGCTGTTTCAAAAACCAGTGGCACAATCTTATGGTCATTATGACTGACGGTTGCCTACATAGGTTGAATGATACAGCTTAGGTTTTCTACAGAGTGATATAGTGGCCTGTCGGTCTTCCTTAGTTACCTTCTATGACATGCATGGTAGATACAGTGTTATTATTCTTGGCTGCTCTGGTTGGCTCAAATAACACACAGGCACTTTAGACGACAGTGGACCTATGATATTTGCACTTTCTGTCTGACAGTCTGACTTCAGTAAATGTTTTTGCACAGTCAACAAGCAACTAGAGAATCGTACTTCTTCTTAGTATTCACCGGCTGCAAATTCAGGTGGAAAGTTCTGGTTGTCTTCCACTCCTGGACTTGTTCTTGACCCAGCAGAACTTGAGTATTGCATGCACATCCAGTTTACGGATCCGGTTTATTTGCATTCAGACTATTAGTAAAACAATACTATTATGGCCTGAAGAGAATGAGGCACTGGGTGTAACCAGAGGATCTGGCCGGCTCACTTCATCCAGGGGAAAGACAAGGCAGACATATAACCAGATTGTGACCCGTACCGTCAGTATTAGAATTTTGCGCTAGCTGCTGAAGATGAAGACGGAGCATGCATGGGAACGCCCTGAGTGCTGTGATGTCAGTTCTTGACAACTCGACTCAACTCAACTCTGCCTTAATGCAGATTCAAATCCAAGACCTTTGGGCCATCAGGTGGGGCTACTGCAGCTCCCCCACAAACAGTTAATTAGTAAATAAATGTGTAGACAGAGAATTTCCTGTGTAAAGTTTATTTACAAGCACATATTTCTTTTCAGATGGGTGCTTGTTTTTTAAAAGTTTTTAATGGCTGCCCTCTTCACATTAACTGTACAGCAAGTTGGGTACATCCTGAAACTAGAGGTATGTTGATCTCTCAAGGACATAGAAGTTTATAGCATCATGATTCCTTGTGCTTGAAAACCTTGTAGTGAGATTAATGGAAGGCAGAGACAAAGGCTTGGCCACATGGATGTTCTGAAAAAAGACCAATTTAAAAATGTTGGAAAAAAAAGCCCTCTTGCGCTACTTTACCAAATGAAAGCCCTCTTGCACAGGGTAAATGTTTTTAGAAAGCCCTCTTACGCTACTTTCTAAATGGGTACCAGGAAATGTTTTAGAAAGCCCTCTTACGCTACTTTCTAAATGGGTACCAGGAAATGTTTCAGAAAGCCCTCTTACGCTACTTTCTAAATGGGTTCTTGCGCTGCTCCCTAAATGGGTACCAGGAAATGTTTTAGAAAGCCCTCTTACGCTACTTTCTAAATGGGTACCAGGAAATGTTTTAGAAAGCCCTCTTGCGCTGCTGAGTGCCAGTTTAAAAAGTCAGGTTATGGATCCTTTTAACGCAACTAGAGCATCGGGCACATGATTCTAGACTCGTATTTGTATAGACCAATAGGCAGTGGGAGATATAGTCAGCATCTTGCTAGCCGCCTTTACCTTCCAGAACATCACTTAATACACATTTAAGGTGGGGTCGACCTGGAAGTCAGGGCCATTTTTGAAAACATCCAAGAAGATTCAGATTCAAACATAATACCTTCGGGCCAGAGGCAAGCACCTAGCCACTACACCACCATGTCTTCCAACTACTAATTTGCATATGCAAATGTACCCACTACGACACTAGATGTGGAAATAAAACATTTACATTTTTACTAAAGTATAAAAACATTCATGTAAATGGACACATTATTAAGCCGGTGATTCAATACTTTAGCCTTGTTAACTGCACACTTTATTATAATCATTATGTGGTTGGCATGATATACAGTTAAATATTACAATTAAATATACACAAAAGAACAATTTACATACCTGCCAAAAAGAAAGGAAACTGTGTACCAGCCATGATACATTGATAAGTCATGCAAGCAAAATTGTTTTGCAAATCATCATGAAGAGGATTGAAAGTAAGTTAGAATATTAATTACAAAAGGTTTATGCAGGTTCCAGAAAGGGCTGAGGAACAAGAGATCGTGGGAGGAGAATGGGTGATGATGTAGACCCAAGTAATTGGCTAATCATTTGTAAGGAAACACATAAAACAACTACATGCCTTGATGACTCAGTAGACTATGTCTTTTTAAAGACACCTTTAAAGGCGAGAAGCCTAACTTCAACTGCATTGTGCTAGGTTTGACCCCGTATAGCTTGGTCACTGCAGAGCAACTGGTCACCTACAAGAGCATTATAAGAGCACAATCTCCCTAGCACCAGCAACAGTTCTAAATGATCTTGGAAGTACTTTCTCCTGTGAACATAGGAATGGAATTCAAATTGAACCCACAACCTTCAGAACATAAGGCAGTTGGCTTAACCAATTTGTCATGGCTATCTGTATCTGCTCAGATAAGATTAACTCATATTGCTAAATGTTCCAGTGTCATGGATTTTGTGTGAATGTGTTTGCTATCATACAGATTTTTTAAATTTTCCAAACATTATTTTTCAGATCAGTATATTTTCATAGGTGCCAATGAAGGTCTTTATACTTTAAATTTGAATGAAATTCATGAATCTACAATGGATTTGGTGAGTTTCCTTTATTAGAATGTAACATTTAATATGTCTGTGTAGTGTCTTTGCTCAGTGAACATAGGAAACAAGTAGTAATTATGTAATAGCGCTGGTAAAACCTGTCTTCACCTCGTCATGGTCATCGTAGAAAGAGGTTCCCTACCAGGGACCTGGCCAGTGTAGACAAGATCCATGTTTCCTTCAAAGCCAGAGTGTATCTGCCTGAGTGGTGAGGAACCATGAGTCTGCACACACATAGATAGATGTGCATGTGGCACTGAAGTCCTGGAACAAGACCAAAGTCCAGAAGTGGACATACCGCCAGCACTTTCCATCAGAGTTTACAGTTGGTGAATGTGAAGGAAAAAAGAAGAAAGTGAAGAAGAAGATGATGATGATGATGGAAAAGAAGAAGAAATTATGAAGAAAAGACTGACTAGATAATTTTCCAGGTAAGCTGCAACAGTTGACTAAGGTAAGGAGACTTAGTGTGAGTTTTGCCACTTTATTCTATAGAAAACCTTTACTACAAGTCTATGTTTTTTTAGTGGTTGGTCAACATCTGAGATGAAAACACCTTCCGATATTGCAGTTTCTAATGAAAAACCTTTTCAACTGTTCCAGTTGACACATCAGTTGTTTTGCTAGCGAATGCATGCTTTAACCTGTAATGCCGCATCAGTTTCAGTGATGCTTTTTCTTTCTGTTGCAAAAATATGTGCCTGATCTGGTTGTGGAAAATCGTATGTGAACTCAACGTCCTTTCTGAAACATTTGTCCCAGTCTGTCACTGTTGTCTTCAAAACACATTTGTTTACATACACTGCCTGCATTCTTCCATAAGTGTCCACTAATTGACATTCTTCAAATTAAAGCAGCTAAATCACTGCTCTTTAAACTTTTCTGGATGGATTTTGCATCAACCCAGTGATTTTTTTTTCTCAATGGTCAGAAACAAAACCTATTCATTGTGGGGCATTAAGCACTTGCTCTTTTATTCATTGATCATATTTAGTGCACACAGGTATTAGGCAGAAACGGGTTTCAAATAAACCTCCCAAATATGAAACAAAATTTAAGACTAGTATCAAATGATAAAAGTACATGCTGAAATATTTTAGACTGGTAAAAATAACAAAATATTTTACTAACAAAATTTTAGATTTGTATTAAAACAAACATAAGATTATTTACTAAAATATTTGAGACTGCTGTTGCTAAAGATTGAAGTCTGACGCTAAATGATTTGTCCAGAAAGCTAAGATTTATACTAATAGGTTTACATTTTGACTTGAGACATACAATGACAGATTGTTGAACTATAGTTTTGAAAATGGTTGTTTATAATTGTCAGTGTAATCAGACACTTATTGACTTACAGCGTAATTGTTGCATGTGGATGTTTTTTTTTATATAATATATTTTTTTAATAATTGAGTACTATAAGTTATGTGCCGTTTCCACAATGAAGGTTGGCTACAGTGAACCACTATCGTCTTTGGGAATATTACGCAATAGAAGCCACAATCTTTACCACGGCGTGACTCTCATACCATTGTTCAGAAACCATGAGAACAGATTTTCCCCCATCCACCGTGGGGAGTGAACCCATGCACTTGAATTGTTAACCGCTGGCTTTAAGCCACACAGAGCCCCACTTGAACTACTTTTTAAACTGTCCCAATTGACACATCAGTTCTTTTGTTAGTGAATGCATGCTTTGGCAGCAGTTCACCTGTATTGCTTTAAATAATGCTGTAAATCTCTTTCTCCGACTTCTCTTCCTTCTTCTTCTTGTATCAAGGAAGGAATTAGTGTCTGGTTCTTACTTTTTTGACCACCTTGGCCTTTGACACATTGTTGCGGCGTCTGTGGCCAAGGCGTTGCGAGTCCGACTCGTAAGCCAGCATACCGCGATCGAAACCCACTGCAGGCTGTGTGGATTTTTGTCGTGGTATGGGACGTCGCAGGTCGACCCAGCCCAAAATGGGTACCAGGATGGGCTGTCCTGGGAAAGTAAAGACAGCCGGCGTAATGCTGACCACATTACCCACAGAGTACTGATGGTCTGTAAAAATATGGGACGCTCTGCCCATATGCCTGATGCGCCGAAAGGCGTGAAAATGGAACTTTACTTTTTTTTTTACCTACTATTATAGTTATGAATGATTTACAGGTGCACGCAAGAAGATGTGTCTGGCTGTACGTGATAAAAGATATATTAATGTCCCTGTCAGGTAAGAATGTATCCATAGTTTCCTCTATGTCATGTTATGACTGTTTATGTTTATCATTTATTGTGCTCACACAACATATTAGAAAGTATAAATCATTGTTGAACAAATAACCGATGTGAAATCACAGGTCTTCATATAAATATTGCTGGCACTGTGCCAGAGTCACTTAAGTATCAGTTTCTTGTTTCAAGAAATATTTTTACTTTGGCTTTAACACATCTTTTGAAAGGATATTTAAAGTTGAGATTACTGACTTATTGCATTTGGTTTCAACCCATTTGGCTGTGTTGAATCTGTGTATGTATATTATGTCTGTGTCTATTGGTTGAGTCTATGTCTATGTGTTGTGTCTGTGAGAGTATGTATGCCTGTTGTGTTGGTGTGTATTATCTGTGTGTATGTCATGTCTGTGTGCATGCTTTGACTATGTATGCTATTTTATCTGTGTATATGGGTTGGGTTTGTGTGTAGGTGTTCTATTTGTGATTGTATGTATGCCTGTTTCTGTTGTGTGTGTCATCAATGTGTGCACCTCTGTGTTTGTAAGGGTATTGTGTGTGTCATCAGTGTGTGCATCTCTGTGTGTGTAAGGGTGTTGTGTGTGTTTGTGATGTTTAGGTATTTTTGCATGTATAGTTGAAGGTATACATTTTGATATATGAACATAATTCTATATATATATAGAATACAGTTGCCATATGAAAGATGAATGCTTGAAAGGTCAAATGTAAGATGGGCCTGCATCCCAATTTGTAACCCTTTGGAAATCAAAGCTCATTTTTCTCAAGTTTGGGTGTGTGGGGTAATTTCCAGGCTGATTGATTAGCTGCTGCTGCTTCTCTGGACTGTGGGTCAGTTTCTCGCTTACTTAAGGGTGTGTGGGGTAATTTCCAGGCTGATTGATTAGCTGCTGCTGCTTCTCTGGACTGTGGGTCAGTTTCTCGCTTACTTAAGGGTGTGTGGGGTAATTTCCAGGCTGATTCATTAGCTGCTGCTGCTTCTCTGGACTGGGTCAGTTTCTCGCTTACTTAAGGGTGTGTGGGGTAATGTGCATACTGATAGATTTGCTGCTGCTGATGCTCCTGTAAACTGTGAGCTACTTTTTGATAAAGTTTGCATGGTGAAGACTCTCTTGAATCAATTGGAAAGACAGAATCCATACCTGGAAAAACTGGTTCAGCAGGAATTAGGCGCAGGGGGAAGATAGATTACAATCATCAGTATGGAAAGTTTTGTCAGCTGCTGAAGAAGGGGATGAGCACATATGGGAATACCCTGAGTATAGTGATATCATTTTTGAATAATTGATTGATTCATTCAGTGTCTGTCTATATAGGAACTGGTGGCTTGTAAGAGAGTCAAACAAAATACTAGCAGCCATAGAGTGGGGATTTCAGAAGCATCGGCAGTATAGTCCAAAACTAAGCTCAGGACCTTCAGTGTGCAAGGCAAATGACTTGACCTCTTTGCTATGAAGACTCCTGATAATGCATAAGATAAAAAAAAGGGTGAACGTAATTATCGCATGATCTATAACAAGAGCAGGAGTCACTGAGAGAAAATATAACCATAATTAACAATGGTTTAAAAATAAAAAGCAGCAGCTGTTTGACAGCTTGGAGAATTCTTTACAACTCTGTTGTTTGTTGACAGTGTCTTAGTTAATATAGGCGAGATACAGAGGAGTCGTCATTTCAGTTGATGTGGGCTAGAATTTTGTTCTTTTCAGTTTAGTTTGTCTGTATAATCCAAGTGCCACAGCACTGCAGAGCTAACACACTTGCCAGTCTGCTGGCTCAGTGATTATGTGTTTAAAACCTTTTTGGGCAAGGATTTTTTCCACAGAGCTGGTTGACTGCATAAACTGGGTACCACTAGATGCTTTAGTGCAGCTAAATAGTAAACATGAGAAATCGCTGGAAATTCACTTTTGATTCATTATTTTTCCATTTCATTGTTTTAACAACAGGCAGAACAACCTACTTGTACAGACATGATCTCATGACGTTACATGCACGCCAGACTAGTCGGTTCTCTTTATCAATGAATAAAATTCCAGAAAAACTTGTGCCAAGGTTAGTCTGAGACATCAACCACAAATTTGTGTCATCATCATCATCATCATCATCACCATCAAATGTTTCAGCTCTTGAGCTGGACCTGAAACTTTCTCATGGACAAGATGGAGGGAAGAGTGGCAGTGGGAGACCAGGAGAGAAAATGTTAGACAGTTTGGCATCATGGCATGGAGGGGCATCGGTAGAAGAAATGATTGGCGGAACACACATGGTGACCAGTGCCACACTGCATGGATTTGAAGCAGCGTTTTATCATTATTAAAAATAATACTACATCTCATATGACTACACATTTTTCTGAAGGTTTAGGGTTTGTTTCACGGCTGCGTCATCGTTCGGTTCACGAGTGCAGTTTTACAGAGATCCTTGGTGATTGTCACCAGAGCTGTGGAGATCATGGTTTGTGCTATTCTCTAGGTGGATCTGGATCGAGCCATATGGAATAAAACCTGGCTTAGTGAAGTGGATCCTTTTGACTTTAACTTGTAACTTGTATACACTTTTCATATATATATATATATATAATATACACACTAGCCACCCGCCCCCCCCCCCCCCCCCCCCCCCCCCCGCAATCATATCTCCCTCTACAAAGGATTGAAAAATCATCACCTGGTGAAGCCAGACACAGTAAGCTGAGAGAGCATTTCTGAACTATTTCTATTAAATAATTTCGCCATGGATGATTTTTCAATCCTTCGGAGAGGGAGATATGATTGTTGGGGGAGGGGGGGGGGGGGGTGGTTATGCCAGACAAGTTAGCTGAGAGAGCTTAAAATATTATTTTAAAGTTCTCATTTTTTAACTATTTCTATTTTAATAATTTTGCCATGAATGATTTTTCAATCCTTCGGAGAGGGAGATATGACTACGGCAGGTGATGATTTTTCGGCTCTCCTTTAAACGGTCGCTAGCTGGAAGGCGACGGTCGCTTAGTCCGAGTTTACTCCCTTGGCTGAAGTGCAAATACGGAGCGGACAAGTCACGAATCAAAAAACAAAGTGAGGTCGACATGCCTGCTAGAGCTAGACCACGCGCTGCGACTGACAGTCGCGACTGCGGTCTTGCGACGCAAGACTCTCGTAGACCACGCGCTGCGACTCACACTAGCGACTGCGTTCTTCCGACGCTCGACTTAGTGACTTAGCTTCCATTGTTTCCTTGATGTGTCACCCTAACCCTACTCCTAACCCTACCCCAAACCCTAACCTTACCCCTACCCCTAACCCAAACCCTACCCCAAACCCTTACCCTAACCCTACCCCTAACCCTACCCCTAACCCTAACCCTACCCCAAATAATAACCCAAACCCTATGCCTAACCCTAGGATGACAGGTAACTATATCATTTGTTTCGTTCCCTCTTTACCACTCCATATTTGCACTGCAGCCAAGAGAGTGAACTCCGACTAAGCGACCGTCGCCTTCCATCTAGCAACCGTTATTTAAAGGAGAGCCGATTTTTCAATCCTTTGGAGAGGGAGATATGATAACGGGGGAGGGGGCGTTATGCCAGACATAGTTAGCTGAGAGAGCTTACAATATTATTTTATTGTTCTCATTTCTTAACTACAGTGGAACCTCGCTTAGCGAGTATAATTCGTTCCAGAATCATACTTGTTAAGCGAAACTCTCGTTATGCGAAACAGTTTTATTTTCATATAAATTAATGTAAAATACGATAATGCGTTCCATGTCGAAAAAAATATTCACAAAATGCTATGTATAACCTTTATTCAAAGAAACTTATATATATATTTTTTAGGATATTGAATCATCTTAATCTTTTCTTCAAAAGCGGAACGAACCCACCTGAAATGCGAATTCGATTTGCAGAAAAAAAAAGTGGAAATAATTATTATAAATAGCTAATTATTTTTTTTACTAGAAAGATGTCCAGAGACATTTGTTGTTTCCGACGCTTCAAAATTTAGCGAAAATGCGACACAGCATTATCATTAAATAAATTTGCAGCATGCATAGACACTTCCTTATTAGGGTGAGGCTTCTCAATGTAAGATGCAATAGTTTCCCATGCTTTCAGCATTTCTCCTATTTCGCCAAAAGATTTTTGCTTTTCTGTTACCTCCTCTTCCTCTGACAAACTTTGCTCCAAAACTTCTTGCTGTGAAACACAATACAACCCTATAAGCTTTTCGGTGGTCAGCTCTTGGCTGTGCTCTTCCACAAGCTCGTCAATATCCCTGTTATCCCATGACTACATGTTCCGCAGGTACTGTCTCGAACCCCTCAAAGTCACAAATCGACAACGCTCTCCAGCCAAAGCTTCTTCCAAGAAGAAGTTAGGGTTCTCTTGGTAACCCCTTCCCCCGTCTTCTCGATCATTTTGAGGCAGCAATGATGTGGAAGAGATTTTTTCCAAAACTCTTTGAGAGTGAGGTTGGTCCCTTCAGTCACCTGAAAACAATGCTCGAAGAGTACTTTAGAGCTTCTTAAAGTTAGAAATAACTTGTTGGTCCATGGGCTGGAGTATCGAGTGGTTTTGGGAGGCAGAAACTGGATCTTGAACTTAAATTCTTCAGGGAGGTCATCTTGTAGGCCTGGAGGATTTATTTATATATATATATATATATATCACAATATAACACGAGTTTGAGAAAATGTGTGATCACAAGCGACACTACGATGCTACTGGAACGAGTGCTAAACACAGACTGATGTAACATGCGCACAATCTGGGACTTCACCTCTCCTCGCCACTCGTTATGCGAAACGTCCCTCGTTAAGCAAGTCATTTTTTTTACAAATTCTTTTGCTCGTTATGCTAATTACTCGTTATGAGAGGTGCTCGTTAAGCGAGGTTCTACTGTATTTCTATTTTAATAATTTTGCCAGGTGATGATTTTAAATCCTACGGAGAGGGAGATATGATTGGTGGAAAAGGGGGGGGGGGTGTTATGCCAGACACAGTTAGCTGAGAGAGCTTAAAATATTATTTCAAAGTTCTCATTCTTAACTATTTCTATTTTAATTATTTCGCCATGAATCATTTTTAAATCCTTCGGAGAGGGAGATATGACTTCGCCAGGTGATGACTTTTCTATCCTTTGGAGAGGGAGATATGACTGGAGGGAGGGGGGGGGGATGCCAGACAGACACATTTAGCTGAGAGAGCCTAAAATATTATTTTAGATTTCTAATTTGTTAATTATTTATATTTTAATAATTTCGCCATGGATGATTTTTTAATCCTTCGGAGAGGGAGACGACTGGGTCCGGGGAGGGGGGATATGACAGACACTGTTAGCTGAGAGCTATTTTCTTTCCTTTTCATATATATATGAAAAGGAAAGAAAATAGCTCTCAGCTAACATTGTCAGTCATACCCCCCCCCCCCTCCCCTCCCCTCGACCCAGTCATATCTCCTTCTCCGAAGGATTAAAAAATCATCCCTGGCAAAAGTATAAAATTAGAAATAGTTAAGAAATGATAACTTTAAAATTATATTTTAAGGTCTCTCAGTTAACAGTGTCTGCTATCAACCCCCTCCCCTCCCCCCACTAATCATATCATCCTCGCCAATGAATGAATATATATACACACACATATATGTGTGTGTGTGTGTGTATATATATCTATGTATATATATTTATTATAAAATAACATCCTCTGTTCATCTCTCCACTTTCTGAAGCATTAATTCTCTGAACCCAGTGACCAGCTATGCGCCTGTTGACTGTACAGCTTCCATAAACAGCAGACAAACATTTATGAATGTTCACCAGTTTCTCTTTTTGCGAACATAAATTCTACAATAATTTGCTGTTTTTGTAACACACATTGTCTTAATCATCTATTTTAACAGAACAGTGAAGCTGTTTATTTTGTTATAATGAGTTGATCACTGGCATCATGAGATCTAATAGACTGAAATGGCTTGGGCCTTTTGAGAGAATGTAAAATGACAGAGAGGTAAAAACTGTATATACAAGGGAGATGAATGGTTGTAGTCCACGAGGCAGATCAAGAAGATGATGAAGAGATAATGTCCAAACAGACCTGCAAACACTTGATGTCACCAACTGGAAAGAGAAGGCCAGCTAGAGAGATGAATGGAGACAGTTGATATCTGAGGCAATGAACCTTAAGGGCTAGGAAGGCTGAAGAAGAAGAAGAAGAATTATAAGCTGAGAAAATATGGGGCATTACTTTTTGAAGATCCCTTGTAAACCAAATATCATCAATTCATTATCAGTATAATTAACTAAAGAAAGGGATGGCGTTACTTTTCTGAATTTATGGAACCTGACAGCATGAAAATATATAATGAGAAAAAGGAAGATACAAAGAAGGAAAAATAATTACAAGCAAAGAAGGAAGAAGTGCGGGAGATGGAAGAGAAGGAGAATGAAGAAGACACTTGCTTAAAATACTTGTCTAACTTCTAGAATTAAGGAATTATTGTTTGTTATGCGTGACCTGAAAAATGTCCAGACAAAATATAAGTTCCACACCTTTGCTTATCAATCTTGAATGTGGCTTACTTTATGCCATATTATTATCATCATCATCATCATTTGTTAGGCGCCTGCAAGTGACAACGAAAGTCTCTGACACCAAAGGCTGTACAATGTGCTGTGTTGGCAAGAATACATACAATGGCTACCGCTATCTTTGTGGCGCTTTGGCCAGTGGCGTCATTCTCATGCAGTGGTATGAGCCACTCAGAAAGTTTATGTTGCTCAAGGTAAGTCAGTGTATGATGATACTGGGAGTTTTCAGTCAGTCTACCAGTCAGGTGCTTTTGTCACATAAGGTTGGCTGCAACGGATCTTCAACATCCTGCCTCTCACCTTGGCTTTAATTCTCTGTAACTGCTGTTCATGCATCACTTGATATCCTGTAAAGTTATATTGTCTATCTCTTGCTTGCTTGGCTCAAACTCTTCTCTCTGATGTTGTTTTTCATCATTATCATCATAAACCACTTCTGCCGTTAAGTGTCGGGGGGAGGGATAATTTGCGATCAAGTGGATGCTAGCTGCCACTGGCTATTGTCATACTGTGACGGGGTAGAGTGTCTTTAATGTTGTTGATCCATATTTGCGCGGCTGCCCTCTTGCTCTTGTAGCTGATCTTCTGAGATGTAGTGCTTGTGATCTTGCTGCATTTTAACGAGATGGCCTAACCACTTGATCTGCTGTTTCTCGATGAATCTAGTACAAGGTGTCGTTTCCACAATTTGTCTGATAGTATTATTATTCACTCGATCTCGGATGGTTAGGTTGGCTGCTTTTCTCGGGCATCTCATCTCGCAGGTGGTGATTTTGCGTATATGGTGTTGTTTTTATAAAAGTATGAATCTTTTAATGTGGCAGAAATATTTTACTTGTCTCATTTTTTCCTATCAGTAACTTTCTTAACTCTTTTTTTTATTGCCAGTCTGGCCAGAATCTCTATATTTGATTGTGCCTGTTTCCATGAAATGTGTTTATGTTTTCTGTTTAGCATCAACTCCAAGCCTCAGTTCAATTTTCTAATTGCTTGTTCAATGTTTGGTTCTCTATAAAGTACAGTTAAAAATACATATCCTTTGGCGGTTATCATTTTTGATGTTTTGTTTACCTCTCTGGATGTTAATTTTCACTGAGTCGACAGTTGTGTATTATTTTATGAGTTATAAGTATAGCACTTAATACAGTTTGCAATGGAGCAAAAAATGTGTAGTTGCTAACCAAGACAGAAGGATATGCACTTTCTAACAGATGCAAAGGACGTGCACTTTCTGACAGATGCGAAGGTTACAGAGCCTGCTTCCTGTGTAAAGCTCTGAAACTAACTGGGTATACAAGTCCATTAGTGGAACTTCACACTGTTTATTACAGAGTACACAGCACAGCAGAAATGGTGGGACTGAGAATAAATACAAAGAAAACTAAGATCATGACAAGCAGTCCAAACCAACAACCAGTGACCATAAATAACCAAACCCTTGAAAATGTAGAACATTTCACATATCTTGGCAGTGTGGTGTCCCTACCGGGAGGGGCCGAAGAGGGCTTTTCTTTGATATTACCATTACTTTTGTATTCCCGTCATTAGAGCTAAGGCCCATTTTATCATTCTATCACTCTATCTATCATTCCCCGTAGTTGTTTTTGACTGTGTCATTAGCATAACTTGTACATATTTGCTAACAAAAAGGAAAGTTTTATATGTATGTGGTAATGCAATAAGCAGTTTCACTTTTCAGACTTTTGAAACTGATCAAATGCCAGCCCAGCTGCCAGTATTTGAAATGTTTATCTTGCCAGAGCTGGAGTATCCTTTGGTGTGTTATGGAGTTCAGAGAGGGTAAGACTTGGATGTTTTTTGTTCTTTCTTTCATCTCTAAACAGAGTTGAGACCCTCAGCCAACTCATAACACGCTCTCAGTAGACATGTTTATGATTGGTTGGAGCGTAGGCACTCAACCTCTTCATACCTCAATTATCTGGGATTGTTGACTCTCTTGTCACAAAGAAACACTGGGACTGACTCGGAGAGTTAGAGGAAATCCCTGGTAATGGGTTTCTCTTTTGTGGGGATTTCAATGCGCAGAACAGCATGGGGCAGTACTGGTGAAAATAGACAAGGAAATGCTTTAGCAGAGGCTAGGGTTGATGGCCAACCCCGACAGATGCGCGCCTGTGGAAAATCTTAGTTTATGCCATTTATCTCAATTTTTGCCCCCAGATTATCAGCCAGATTACCTACTCTCAGAGTGTTTATTGTGGTGGACTCAAGAAGTAGAAGAGGCATGGAGAGCAAAGCGAGCTGCATTTAAACAGTTATAGAAAGTGCTAAGACACTTCACAGGTTACAAGAGGATGTAGTGAAGCTAGAAAGGGTTTGAAAAGATAAAGTAGAAGAGTTCAAGTAGTGTGCGGCAGATGGAAAAAAAAAGCTAAACATAAACATTTTGTGAGTGAAATTGGAGGGGATAAATTACTGGGTAGGTTTTGGAAACCTCACAGACAGATGCAAAGGAAGGATCGCCCTTTTCACAACAGGCATTATGTACACTGATAATGGTATGCCAATGACAACAAACAGAGAGAAATGGGAAATATTTTTGGGAGCTTCATAGCCCATAATGAACATAGTGATATTTAGCTTAGAAATTCAGTTAGAGATCACTTATCAAATACTATAAATGATGATTATTTTCAGGATACCATTAGTTTGGAGGATGTAAAATATATTTTGCAAAAAGCAAAGGACACTGCCGGGCCCAGATGGAATCGGGTATGCCCTCATGAAAAGCATGAGTGATGAAGACAAGAGAGATAGCTTTTTACAACAACCAGAGCATCAGAACAGCTTCAGTACCCCAGGATTGGGTACACAGCTATCTAATCCCACTTCCAAAACCAGACAGAGATCATTCCAGATTCAGCAGTTTTAGGATTAGTGGTCCTGCTTTCATGTATGATTGCCCTTCGTGTACATGGACCTCAGAACCATGTAATATTGCCCTGGGAAAACCCCAAGGTTCTGGAGTTTTTTAAGTGCTCTTCAATATATATGCAAGCAAGATTGCAGAACTTGATAAACCAGGTGTTGGAAGGATATTTACATTTGCACCTGATGTCCTTGCATCTAACCTTCTCTCTGATGCTGGTATTTGTGACCCTGTCCCTTCTTGATTTGTTGGTTTTTGCTTTTCTTTTCTTCAAATATGCTTCATAGATATTTGAATTCCTGCTTTGTTTGTAGTATCATGGACATGAATGTTTATGTTGTTATATTTCCTTCCTATTCTCATTATCTCAGTTTTCATAGAATGTTTATGTCATACTTTGTGTTGATATGATTCAAGGAGTCAGTATAATAGGTTTGATTTTGCTGCTAAAGTAATCTGTGCAGTGAGGTCGTCACTCTCACACCAACCCTCCTTCTGTGACAGGTGTCCATACGCCTTTTATGTTATATCATCATCATCATCGTCATATAGCAGATCGTTTGCAGAACATCACTCTAATCATGGTCTTCCTGAAAGAAATTGTCACTCACCAGCTCCTCCCACCTCATACACTTTCCTACGCTAGGTATCAGTTAAATCATATGCCCATCTTCGAGGGGGTCTGCACCCTGCCCCTCTTTCCTAGTACCATGTCTTCTGCTTTTATTTTTCTCTGATCTGCTGTGATGCTTGATGTGGCCAAAATTTCAGTTTCTGAAACCAGATGCTGTTCACTAGTCAATCTTCCTTGATGTTCAGATCTTTTAGGGTGTCAGTTTTTCTTTTCTACTTTGTCCATGGTTATCTCATAATCTTTCTATAGCAGTTAAGCACAAAAGCTTCTGTTTTCTTTCTTAAAAACCATTGTGACACATATCTGTGTCCATATGCCTTCTGTGATATCTTTTTTTATCCACATGCCCTATTATGATACAAACTGCTGTCATTGTGTTCTGTTGTACTTGCTTCTGGAGCATTGTCTTATATACAGTTACTTCTGTCCCAGTATCTTCTATATTTACTTCTTCCTGCATAATTTTATACTCACAAGTTAGTAGCTATTAGGGTATTTATTCAATTACTTAGATTATCAAAGTTCCTAAGTGTGAAGTTAATTCTTGTGTAAAATAAAATTTTACTTTGTTTTTTCTCCCAGGCATGATGATAACCATGTGAAGTTTGATCTGTTAAACTTGAACAATCTGGCAGATTGGTTTACAGATGTGGACCCCACAGCAGGTAAAAGAAGCCTAATTTTATGTTAACAAAGCTCTAGTTTCATGTTAGCACAAAACATTTGATTCTCTCAGTCCCAAGCAGTGTGAGATAAGCTTTTCTCTGAATCCCACCCAGCATGTAATGTGTTCTACATTTTACATTTGTTGATAGCAGAGTATTTGCGAGGTATTTAACTTCTTTGAAAGTAATACATCAATGATTTGTAACAGTGGTTGTTTATGCAGTTAGCCATCTCCTGAGACTTGTCTGATAGTAAAAGAGGGAGAAAATGTACGTTCGACTGCTTCTTTGTGTATGTGGATATCTTCCTTTACCACACATCATGTAAGCCTTGGTAGCACAGTAGGTAGTAAAGAAACCTTTTCTTACTATTGGTGCTTCAGACATTTGGTGCAAGACCCATCATTTGTATAAACCAATCAGCACCTGATGGATGATGTGGTCGTCCTCACACTGACAGGGCAACACAGTGATTACCTTATATCAGATAATAGAGTTGCCTGTCTTTTTGGTTGTCAAGTGTTTGAATACTTATCCAGGATGCAGAGTTGCAGACCCACACGTGTTGGATGCACCAGTACCAGGGCTCTTACTGAGTTAGTGATGTTCCACCCCACCAGGACATCACACCGAGCGATAAACACCTGGTGACACAAAGTGCCGCCATTCTGATGAGGATCACTCGGGGACAGGTCCCAGAAACCCTGGGCTCATAGTGGTCAAGACTTATCTACATTGCTTTGCGGTTGTCCTAGAAATGGGTTCGCTGCTGGGTGGCCTGGCCAGTGTAGATAGGATTGACTCAGATCCTGGAACAAGGCCTAGGTCCAGAAGTGAATGAACGGCTAAGACTTTTTGCCAGGGTTTAAAGCTGGGGAACACTGAGAAAAAGAAAAAGCCTCATTCAGGCAGGATTTAAATACAGTGACTTGAGTAACTGAAATATAATGTCACATTCTTATTTGTGATTGTGATACCGTGAAGCTGACAAGTTCTACTTCTTGTTTGGCTTGATATTCTGTCAGTCATGATTACAGTTGAGGCAGCCAATGTGTTTACTAATGTATTTGTTTACATCACCAGAATACTTACCAGTGGTGAATATAACACAGATTCAGAAGGATACAGTTCTTGTTTGTTATGATCGTAAGTAGTCTGGAATTTTGTTAGTTAATCGGCTGATCATCCTCATCACACATTGGACAAGTCTATAAGCGCTTGGATCCCATTTTCAGTTTCTCACTCAGTGTGTGGCGACCTATAACACCAGTTTTTTGTGTGTTGGTTTACTTTACTTCTTTGGCTGCCTATATAGTGTTCCTGTCTGGCAACATTGTTTTTGATATGTTATTCTTGTAGTCTCGTGAAGGCTGCTGATTCACCGTTGTCTCCTGAATCACCTACTCGTCGTGCCTCATTGAGATCATCGGCCTGGTTCATTGCTTTTCCTGTGCCTGCTATGGCCCAGCCATTCTGCTGGTTCATTTACTCTTACCCCAGAGTTTCCTGGCACAAAAATGAAATTCATTCTTGTCAGATGAGATTTCCTTAGAGACTCCAAACTCTTCAAACATGATCTATCTCTATCATCTTAAACTGTTCATGGAATCAGAAAAATATGCATGGAGAAAAAATCTAGTCTCTAACCAGGTCATTGCTTTTCTGTTTTGTTTATTGTGTTACTTTATCTGAATAATTCTGCCTGCGTATTGGAAGGTCGTGGGTTCAAGTCCTAACGGAGCCAGATTTTTTTTTTTTTCAAATTACCTTGACTCGCAGATTGACCCAGCCTTGAGTGGGTACAAGATGCAGTCCTGGTAGGTAAAGGCGGCCGGCGTGATGCTGACCACATCACCCACCCAGTGCCGATTGGTCTGTAAAAAATATAGGTCTAGCCCTGTATTCCCAATATGCCTAAAGGTGTGGAAAAGGGACCTTTATCTGAATAATTAAAGTATTTTAATCTTCCTTGCATTGATATTGATGTCCTCGACTGGCCCAAGTATTATTTGTAATTATATTTTCCCCATTGTGACACTTTATGCTTTTTAGTTTTTAGTTTTTTTTAATCTGTCATACATTGTTCATCACTATGTTTGACTATTAGAATCTGTAGCTTAAGTTTATCAGTTGGGCTCATAACTTTGAAATACTTGTTTCAAAAGTAGTATGGAGCATCGACCATTCGTAAAGCAGTAACAAACTACAGAATGTAAAATTGCCTAGTAAAACCACAAACAGCCATCAAATGCTGGAGTCAGTTTACTGACGTCCTGTAAAAAAATGCAACTAAGTTAGCTGTTGACTCTCTCTGATGGTTTTTTCTGTCATATGGTGCCCCTGTCTTTGACTGGCCTAACTGTATTTTTGTTTAAATCTTTCATATAGCAGATGTTACTTTCTTTGTCTGGTCTAAACATTGTTTTTATCTTCCTTGCATTGGATATTACTATTGTCTCTGACCTACAATCTTCTTACTATCTTCTCTGTCCTAAATATAGTTCCGACTTCTAAATATACTTCCGGTTCCGACATTGATAGGGAATGAATGACGGTTGAGAACTTGGCTTATCTTGACCGTTCTCGTCTCCGTTTCTCCTCCAGTTTCGATGTTGCAAGATTGTGGAAGTTCGGTTTGCAGCCGGAGCTACTGAGTTTAGTGCTCCCGGCGGCACTATGAGCTGTGATTATCGGTTATTGACTGAGTTCTAGATTTGTATATAATGGCAATGATAGGTGATGTATTTTTTTTCGTTGTGTTCCTGGGACAAGGCGTGTGCTATAGCTGCTATTTATTTGCCGGCCGTGGCTGCAATTGGCCGAGGACATGTGGAGAATGGTCAGGAATAGTTTTAATCTACTCATCGCCCAGCTATTCGTCGAATGAAGTTGATTTTCAGCGATGACGCCTGGTCTCGCAGTGTGTTTAAGGAGGCAGGCACCTTATGGTTTGCCAGATCAAACCGTATGTGTTTTTCTGTCTGTGTATGGCTACAGTATTCACTTGAAGTATCCAGCGTATCTGACTCAGTTTGTGACTGGAATCACTGGCATAGGCGGTTGAGCAATTATGAGCCAAGCTCGTTTGCTGTGTTGCCGGAACCATAACGACTAACTAACTAACAGTTTATGTGATCTTGCCCATCTTAAGTAAAACCGCACATAGTCCACACTAAATAAATCAAACTTAGCCTGCTAAAGTTAGAGGTGGATGTCATACTTCTAAACTAAGCTCATCTCCTCTTGAGTGGTACTTATCTTAATATTACTGTTCTCAATTTCATTATTTAAACCTCATGTTACTTTTCTTCCTTTCTTTCTTGCTGTCTGTCTCTTTCTCTCTGTATCTTTCTTTCTTCTCCACCCTCCAGGCCAGTGGTTTTTCTGATGAGAAGATCAAAGCCTCTACGAATGCTGTGGTATGTTGCAAGTCCTTCACTAATCTACACAACCTGGTCTCCACTGAAATTCTAACACCAGGGATGTCCTGTCAGCACATGTTTAGTAGTTTAAAATCTCTGTCTACATAGGCAGTGTTCCAAATCCCCCATCTTGAATTATCTCCGGGTCATTTTTTTCAGCCATCTGTGTTATTTGTTATTTTTGTAATACTGATTTCAGTGTTATTATTTGTCATTATTTCACCACTTCTGTCTTTTATTGTCTGTTTATTAACCTATATTTGTTCATTCCCATAAAAGAATATGTCAAAGTGTTCAGTTTGAATGGCCGATTAAAGTCCAGCAGAAGGCGGCAAGCAAAACTTCATTTTGATTGTGTGATAGTTTCCCTAGGTGAGTACGACCTGCTTGAGTTAAAAGACAGGTATATCCAATGCTTACATTAAATCATGTGATAAATTCTCCCATTGATATCCTAGTGGTTCGTATTCACATTGAAACAGATTTAAACAAAAAAAAAAAAAATGTTTATCTTCTTTGCCATGTCAGCCTAAAAATCACTACCAGGAAAAATATCTGAAGAAGTCAACATAGCCAGGGTGATTTTGACTACATCACTAAAGGAGTGGGAGTTGCTGTGGTGGAGCGGCTAGATGCTTGCCACAGATCAGAAGTTCATGGGTTTGCTCCCTGGCAGAGCCTGACTATTTTCAAAAATGACCTTGGCTCCCAGGTCGACCCAGCCTTGAGTGGGTACTGGGTGTAGTGATGCTGATCACATCACCCATCAAAGATTGGTCTATAAAATAAAGGCCTAGCCCTGTATGGCCTATACACCTAAAGGTGTGAAAAGAGTCCTTTACTGTTTTTAACTTACCCATAGAGTGCCGATTGATCTACCAGAATGTGGGCTGGTAACCTGGTTTTTATTAAAATTTAGTTGTCTATCTTCGACTGTAGATCACACACAAACCCTGGCTTGTTGACTGTTTGTAGTTTTACTTGACAATTTTAAATTTAGTGATTGCCATTGCTTGTTGAATGCTCGACATTTATACTGTTGTGAAATCAGTGCAAAGCGGTCTGCAGCCAAATAGGCTCTGGCAGATTTAACCTGTGGGAAGTTATAATTATGAAGCTGCATTCTTAACCCTTAAGCCACAGATGCTGACTAGTAATTATTAAATGTGTTTAAAAAGACTGTCCTACCATTGGCTTGAGATCACTGCCGAGTTCAAGCCGAGTGGCTTGACTTCATTATAGGGTTCTCCAGTACAGATAGGTCTCTCTCTACAGAATGGCTAGCCGCTTGTTGAATGTACTGCAGGAAATACCACCTCTATAGCTCCAGTGATGATCCCCAGTGATTTCAATAAAAACTGCACTTGTGAAATGAACGACACATTCGTGAAACGAACTCAGTACTTTCAGACCACAAGGCAAACAGCTTGACTGATTTGATACAGACATCTCCATTGAAAAATCTGAGACGAACATCCATTGTTGATACAGATCTGAGGAACGATCATTCTGCATCACTAAAGAAAAACTGGGAGCTTTTTAATTGAACCTTTTCAGTACCAAATAATGCACTGTGTGCGACTAGATATTAACCCTACCAGACCGCTGGCCTGATTTTCCAGGAATTTCCTAACCAGCCGCTATACTGCTGGCCCACTTTTCTGGGAATTTACGTAGTACGTGAAAAATATGCGTCACAGACTAAAAATAACCAGCCAATCGCCATCAGTCTTCGTTGTTAGTCATTGCGAATGACTTCCCACATGTGTTTCTTTGTGTGGTTGGATGTGAAAAAAATTCGGAAAATTCTCAATGAAACGAGCGGCTTCGACAAGAAAGTGACTTAGGTCTAGGCTATTCACAGTCCAACAGGTGATCGATACTTTTGTTAATTCAGACTGTGAATGCGTTCATGAAGAATACGTTCCCAGTTGAAGTGACATAGTCAGTGAGAGCTAGAGTGAGGAGAAGAATTATGAAGATTATAGATTTAAAACTAGATCGATAGTAAAAGAAGAGGGTGTGTCCCTCAAACAGCAATATCTAGTGCTTACTTTGTGAAACAAGACTGATCCTACTAGGTGGATTGGCACACAAAGGTGGAAGATTGGCGCTAGATGAAAGGAAACCTATTTTCTACAATGTCTCCAAGTTTTATCTTATTCTAACCACTTGTTTGCATGTAACTAATTTTTTTGTACATCATGTTGGTGTTTTCATGTTAGCGCCAAGGAGCTCAGGTTATAGTGACAGTTAGGTTCAGGGCCTCAGGTCTGGTAGGGTTAATGATGTTTTCTAATAAACATAATATGTATGTTTTGTACATTTTGAGTCTATAATAAAGGACTCCAACAAAGTATTCTCAGAATACCATGAACAAAGAAGAAGAGAAATACTGACATCCTGAAAGATCTGAACATCAAGGAAGATTGGATAGTAAACAGCATCCTGTCTCCAAAACTAGAAATATTGTGGCCATATCAAGTGCCACAGCGGATTGGACAAAAATAATAGCAGAAGACATGGAACTAGGAAAGAGTGGCAAGACCTGACCAGCATGAAGATGGGATAGGATATATAAGTGACACCTTGGGGAGGAAAGTGCACAAGGGGGGAAAGCTGGCAAGAGACAGGTTTCTTTCCTGCAGACTGATGAGAGGGACTTTCTGCACAGGATCTGCTGTATGATGATGAACAAGGTACTTGCTTCCTGCAAGGGGTGTGTATTCGATCCTTGTGTTGTTACTATCTCCTCCCTGGGGCTTCAGCTGTACTTTCTGGGACTCATAGAGTTACATGTGTCCTCTTGTTGTTTTGTGTGCCTTTCTGGATAGAAGTTGTCTTAAGTTTTATATGACAGAATACAACATGAGCTTTGAAACCGGTTTAATAACTAAACTCAGGGATCATTTTGCACTTTATACTTTGGATTCTCACAATGGAAGAATTCCAGCTTGACGAAATCATTAAATCTAGAAAAGCTTTATATACTTCTAGAAATGTTGCCCCTGGTGAACAGGCAGTCTTCCATACAGAATAGATGTAAGTAGCCTTTATGGGTAAAACAGATGATTCCTTGCAACCATTTAAAACTAGAGCACAGTTTATCAGGTCATTATAAGAGGTTCCCTTTACATGAAGGAAATTCCAGTTGTATTCCAGTTTGAAGACTCCATACAGAAGAGATATAAGTGGTCATTTTTCACCAGATATGCACATTTCAGCCTAACCATAATAACTAAAAGAGACTTAATCATACTAGCATTACCTTTCCTATTTTGTCTTTAGAAATGAATAATTTGTTTCCCTATAGTGACTCTGCAAGATAGTGTTCTGGCTTTTCATAAGCACGGTATGCAAGGTAGAAGCTTCAGAGCAAATGAGGTAAGGTTTTACATTAGAGCAGATATTTTCATTGTGTTCATTTGCTTCTTTCCCCCTTTTCCTTCACTTGATCCTCTGCTGCTTGTGCTCCTCCACCTTCTTCCTCTGTTTTGTTGTTGTTGACCTTCTCATATTCTTGCTGCTGCATCACCTTCTCAGTTCTTGACCCCCCACCCCACTGTTCCCTACTGTGTGTATCCTACTGTTCTTCCTGCTGCACTGCATTACCTCTTCCTCCTCCTCTCTGTCTGTGTCCTTCTCCTATTCCTGCTGAGCTACTCTATCTCTACTCCCTTTTCCTTCATCTTGCCACATAGATTTGGTGATGACAAAATGCAAATGGTGTGTTTATGTGGGGGTGGGTAGGTGTGGGTGGGTTGGATGACCTGTTTACTGTGAAGTAACTGATTGATTAACTAATATATACAATCATTTTGTTTTTATGTGAGAATAACTATTGCTTTCCTCATTATTTTATTTCTTACTCACCAATGTATTCCTTTCAAAGGAAAGCCAGATACACTTTTGTTGGTATAATGTGTTAGGTTGTTGTGATTGTTTGGTTTCTGACTAGTTCCTTAGAGTACTTTAATCTCATGTTTTTATTGCAGTTAGAAATGAGTGCTAGGAAATGTCATGGGAAGTAAAGGTGGCCAGTATGTTATCAAACACTGAGTTCCAAGGGGTTTACAGATACGAGTCCAACACAATTTCCCAAATAAGGCACAGAAGTTAAAACTGTTATCTGTCAAAGTAGTTTGGCAAGTTGGTATGTGGGTATCTAGGAAGTTGTATTGGTGGGTTTGCAAGTATGTATCTAGGAAGTTGTGTAGGTAGATTTGCATGTAAGTATCTAGAAAGTTGTATAGGTAGGTTTGTATGTAAGTATCTAGGAAGTTGTGTAGGTGGGTTTACATGTAGGTATCTAGAAAGTTGTGTAGGTAGGTTTGCATGTAGGTATCTAGGAATTTGTATAGGTAGGTTTGCATAAAGTTGTCTAGGAAGTTGTATAGGTAGGTTTGCATAAAGTTATCTAGGAAGTTGTATAGGTAGGTTTGCATGTAGTTATCTAGGAAGTTGTGTAGGTAAGTTTGCATGTAGGTATCTAGGAGGTTTTTGTAAATAGGGTTTTAGGGATGTTTATGGGTAAGGTTGTAGGAAGGTTTGTGGATAAGCTTGTAGGTAGGGTTTTATTAAGTTTGTATGTATCTTGTGTAGATACAGCTGTAGGAATGTTTGTGGATAGGGCTGTAGGAATGTTTGTGGATAGGGTTGTAGGAATGTTTTTGGCTAGGGCTGTAGGAATGTTTTTGGCTAGGGCTGTAGGAATGTTTTTGGCTAGGGCTGTAGGAATGTTTGTGGATAGGGTTGTAGGAATGTTTTTGGCTAGGGCTGTAGGAATGTTTGTGTATACGGCTGTAGGAATGTTTTTGGCTAGGGCTGTAGGAATGTTTATGGATAGGGTTGTAGGAATGTTTTTGGCTAGGGCTGTAGGAATGTTTGTGTATACGGCTGTAGGAATGTTTTTGGCTAGGGCTGTAGGAATGTTTATGGATAGGGCTGTAGGAATGTTTTTGGCTAGGGCTTTAGGAATGTTTATAGATACAGCTGTAGGAATGTTTTTGGCTAGGGCTGTAGGAATGTTTATGGATAGGGCTGTAGGAATGTTTTTGGCTAGGGCTGTAGGAATGTTTATAGATACAGCTGTAGGAATGTTTTTGGCTAGGGCTGTAGGAATGTTTGTGGATAGGGTTGTAGGAATGTTTTTGGCTAGGGCTGTAGGAATGTTTATGGATAGGGCTGTAGGAATGTTTATGGATAGGGCTGTAGGAATGTTTGTGGATAGGGCTGTAGGAATGTTTTTGGCTAGGGCTGTAGGAATGTTTGTGGATAGGACTGTAGGAATGTTTGTGGATAGGGCTGTAGGAATGTTTGTGAATAGGGCTGTAGGAATGTTTATGGACAGGGCTGTAGGAATGTTTATGGATAGGGCTGTAGGAATGTTTGTGGATAGGGCTGTAGGAATGTTTTTGGCTAGGGCTGTAGGAATGTTTGTGGATAGGGCTGTAGGAATGTTTGTGGATAGGGCTAATGGAATGTTTGTGGACAGGGCTGTAGGAATGTTTATGGACAGGGCTGTAGGAATGTTTATGGACAGGGCTGTAGGAATGTTTGTGGATAGAGCTGTAGGAATGTTTATGGATAGGGCTGTAGGAATGTTTATGGATAGGGCTGTAGGAATGTTTATGGATAGGGCTCTAGGAATGTTTATGGATAGGGCTCTAGGAATGTTTATGGATAGGGCTGTAGGAATGTTTGTGGATAGAGCTGTAGGAATGTTTATTGCGTTTATTGGTAAGCTTATGGGATGCTTGTGGTTAGGTATGTAGAAAATTGTGTATATAGGTTTGTAGGAAATTTTGCAATAAATTTTTTGAGTAGATTTATGTGAATGTTTTTGTGTAGATTTGTAGTTCTATTTCCCATAACTATTATTCTATTCATTGTTTCAGGTAACACAAGAGATATGTGATAAAACTCGAATATTCAGACTTCTTGGGTCAGACAGGTAAGGTGTCAACCACCATCAGAATTGTTATTGTTTATTTATTTAGTCTTGTTATACTTTCTGAGGTTTGTTTGCTAATCTTTTAAACAGGGAATTTGAGTTTTAATCCTTTGTTAAGTGATGCACATTTGTTTCTGTTTGGAGCACATATACAAATTGTAACCTGCACTGGACATGCAGCTGTTAACTCCTCAGGCTCGAGGGCCTTCCCCCACCTTCACCTGTGTAAAAATGGGTAAATCCACGCAGTAAAGGAGGATAACTTTTGTGAGGATTTTCATAATTATGAATGTTAAGATGTTTACCTGTTTCTGTTCCATACAGTATCGCCATGTGGGTCCCGGGGCTCTATTGGGGGGAGCGGGGGGGATAGACCCACTGACCCCTCACCCCAACAAAAGCCGACTACTTAAAAATCGGAGCGCATCTACTTGAGAGGCGAGGAAGCAACATCTGATGTGTAAAACATGTGCATTCAAAACTCAGGTTCTGGATCAGGACCACGTCTAGGAATGGATAAACAACCAGAACTAGCCATTGGGGTTTCAGCCAGAAGAACAAGAAAAATGACATTCATAGTCAGATAATTTATATTCATTTAAGGAATTCCTGGAAGCTGGAATTTCCAGCGCCCAGATTTGTTTCAGAGCCATATGTATTTAAAGTTGTCATACTTTTTTGTTTCAAAATCTTATCTGTTTAAATTTGTCATACTTTTTTTGTTTCAGAATCATATCTGTTTAAATTTGTCATACTTTTTTGTTTCCGAATCATATCTGTTAAAATCTTTTCATCCTTGTTTGTTTCAGAATCATATGTATTGAAAGTCGACCCACTGCCGACCCCACGGCAGACTCCAGCCTGTATGTGCTGGCTGGTCATGAGAACACTTACTGACACTGGGCACCTCATGTATAAATCAGTGTGATAATGTGTATAGTTATCGCTTTTGTAGTTGAAAAGAATATACAGATAAATATATCTCATGTATAGTTTTTGTATAGACCAGATATTCACTTAAAATTATTGTTGCATTTTCCTAAAAAAGTATAGAACCACGTGTAAAGACTTGCAGTGGTTGTTCTCCAATACTGCTCTTGTCGTATGTACATAGTCTCAGACACAGGTATTCTAAATATCAAAGTTGTACATGTTGTTAATTACAAAGCATATATCAGTGTCTTGTCTGTATAACAAAATATGTGGTTTCTGTTTTACATGATTTATTGTTGAAAATGTCTAGATTACATGTAATCAAATGAAGTTAATACTTTCAAACCACTATTTCGTGTTCTGATGTTTAAAGATTTCTAGAAAATATCACACGATATTTTAACTAAGAACACGGGTGAAAGAAAAGACACACACACTGGAACCTCTGTTTTTGAACACCTCTCTTCTGGAATAATTTGGTCTCTGAATACATTTTCCAAGTAAAAAATGTCATAGCTTCTATTTTATAGGTGTGCAGTTACTTGAAAACATGAACTTTCTTCAGACTAGTGACATATATTTTGATGTCACTTAAGATTTCTCTTCCTGTTCTCATTTCTTTCTCTAAGCCTTTAAACTAAGACCTGTGTCTCAACTGTTTCAATCAGATCAATGATTTGTGCAGCTACATTTTAATTCCTACAGTTTAAACTGTATCATCAGCACATGGCAGATAGTTCACATTGTGATATTTATTGTGTTAGCATATCTTATCCAAGAATATGACATCTAAAAATATAATACCACAGCAGTCCACTTGCTTCAAGATTACAGAATGGTGATGGTGGTGGTTTCTTCGTTTGCAAAGATTGTCATTAATCAGATTCAGGCCTAGCCCTTTTCAGTTATTACTTGAGTAGACAGAGATATTTCACTCCCAATCTAACTGCCCCACAGTTTTCATGTAGACTTTCTGAGGGGAACTTCCAGTAACATAAACTGACTTTAGGGAAGGCATCAGACAGACAGCACAGATATCATTAGAGCAGTGAGTGCAGTTAGAATTGGTTGCTTGAATAGGTAAAGGACTTGTTCACACCTTCAGCCTTATTTTACTAGTCCCATATTATTAAAAGCCAATCGGCAGTCAGTAGGAGATACCTTAGTTTCACACCAGCTACCTTCATCTCCAGGAAAGCTCCTGGTACCAGTCTTCGGCTGGGTTGACCTGGTATGCCAGTTATGATAGTTGAAAAGTGTTTGTACATATTTTGTTCGTACATGTTTCCATGTTCAACATTTTACGCTAAATTTATTATTTATTGGTACTATTCACTAATATAATGGCAGAAGGCATGGTAACAGGAAGGAGGGGCAGGGGCCGGCCAACACGAAGATGGACACAAGATATAAGTGACTCCTTGAGTATGAAAGTACATGAGGCGTGAGAGCTGGTGAGCGACCGAGTTTCATTCAGTCAGACTGTGATGAGAGCGACATTCTGCAAAGGACCTGCTACATGATGGTGATTCACTAAGAAACATTGATGAAAGAAGGCATAGGTACTGGACTGGATTCTATTCATGATATCAAAGTTGTTGCACAGAATCAACTAGAAAGGCACAACAGGACAGTGAATAAATGAATAAATTCATTAACAAATGAGGAAAGTATGAATAATATCAGCTGTGTCATACACATTTAGATACCTATCCTTTAGAGCAGTGTTATTCAACCCATAGGCCACGGCAAGTTTGTGAGCTGCCAACAATTTCTGACTTATCATGAGACAAGAATAGAGTATTATTTCTATTTATAAAGTTTTAAAGCTATCCGATTGTTGACCTTTTTTTTCCATCACTCTAGCCTTATACACACGATTTTCACCTCTAAATTGCAATATATCAACTGGCAGAAAATTGTAATTTGTGATATTTAATTTCTTCTTTTACTTCTGCGTTCATCCAAAGATGTTATTGGGTTGTGTCTGTTTACAGCATGGCTACGATATTTGCGCCTTTCGGCCGACATATCCAACATCTGCGGGCATTTGTTGACCTGATTAGCTTTCTCGGTTTGACATTTAATTTAATAAATAAACTGTTGTCTAAATTTGAGAAATACTACTAACCGTCCCTATTACCTGAGCTCCTGGGCATTAACGCGAAAAAACCAACATGATGTACACAAATATTAGTTTCATGCAAACAAGTGGCTAGAATATGATGAAACTTGGAGACATTGTAGAAAATAGGCTTACCTTTTATCTAGCGCCAGTATTCCACCTTTGTATGCGAATCGACTTAGCAGAATCAACTTTGTTTCACAAAGTGAACACCAGATGTTGCCGTTAGAGGGACACACCCCCTTCTCCTACTATCGATCTATTTCAAGATTGATAATTTTGCAAGATTGTCCTCATCATTCGCGTTCTCACTGACTGTGTTACTTCAAGAACATATTCTTTATGAAATTATCACTCCGCAGAGTCTGAATAAACCAAAATATTGATCACCTGTTAGACTGTGAAAAGCCTAGAACTACTTTACTTTCCTGTTGAAGTGCATGGTTTATCAGCAGCTCGTTTCATTATACATTTTCAGAATTTTTCCACGTAAAACAACACAAATATAATCCAAACACATGCGGGCAGACATTTGCAATGTCTAACAAAGAGGATTGATAACGATTGGGTGGTTATTTTTAGTCCGTGGCGCATCTTTTTCCCCTACTGCGCAAAAAGCCAGAAAATTAGGGCCAGCGGTATAGCGTCAGGTTAAGAAATTCCCAGAAAAGCGGGCCAGCGGTCTGGTAGGGTTAATGCCTGTTTGTGTGCCATTGTCTTCTGAAGGTCAGCTCTTGATACCATTGTCAAAATCAGCACAAAGCGTTCTGCTGCCTAATCGTCTGCTGCTGGTATTGAAACGAGTGTCTTGGAATTACAAACTGTTCACAACCTCTAAGCCACCGATGCAATAACAAAGACATCCACTGTCTAATGGAGGAGCCATCAGTGACATCCTATGTCGTATTTAATGAGGAAGCTTTACATGACATTCTGTACCATATCTGATAGAGAATCTTTTTCTTCTCCTTCTCCAAGTTCACTAACTGTAAACTCTGGTGGAAAGTTCTAGTTGTTAGTCCACTTCTGGACTTCAATCTTATTCCAGAACTTGAGTTTTATGTGCACATCGTTTGACATATCTGGTGTATTTGTATGCAGACTGTTGGTTCCTTGCCTCTTAAACAGATGCACTTAGACTTTGAAGAAACATCCCTAGTTAGTCACTTCCTGCAACATGTTTGTTAGGGGCGTAGTGGGTCAGTTATTTATTCTCTAAAATGGAACCCTAGAACCCACATGAAGATCATAAAGAATATATATTTATCAATCTGTGCCATACATGAGGCAGAAGCAATATACGACACCTTGTGCCATATTTAATGGAGAAGCTATATATGACATGCGTGCCATATCTAATGCAGAAGCTATGTATGACATGCTGTGCCATATCTAATGCAGAAGCTATATATGACATGCTGTGCCATATCTAATGCAGATGCTATATATAATATGCTATGCCATAGCTAATGCAGAAGCAATGTATAACATGCTGTGCCATATCTAATGCAGAAGCTATGTATGACATGCTGTGCCATATCTAATGCAGAAGGTATATATGACATGCGTGCCATATCTAATGCAGAAGCTATTTTTGACATGCTGTGCCATTTCTAATGGAGAAGCTAAATAAAACACCCTGTGCCATATCTGTTTGAGAAGCTATATGTGACAACTATGCGATATATAATGCAGAAGTTATACATGATACCCTGTACCATAACAAATGCAGAAGTCGTAAATGACACTGTATGCCATACATAAGTGAAGATGTCATATACAAGACTGGATGTATGAAGAAGCTACATGTATAACACATCATGTGCCATAACTAAAGGGACTATATATTTACTGTAATTTATCACACCATGTGAACTTGGGGTGTATATTCTAGGTTAGTATTTTTCATCTCTTTTGACTCACATTGTTTTTTAAATTAGTTTCTTTGGCAAAGCCTTTTCGGCTGTTTTTTGCTCAGGAAGAGGAGGGGGATAGAGAATTTAAAGTAAAGAGATATTTAAGTTGTACTTTTTGTTTCTTAATTGTTAATTCAGTTTTTTTAGAGCGGCTGCGGAGCCCCTGTAAAGTGCACGTCCTTAGGGCTCTGATAAGCACAGTTAGGAACCGCTGTATTAGATGTTAATACTTTGCTTTAAATAGTATTGTTAAAACTTCACCAATATTGCCTAAAGCTTCTTGTGCAATTATACGTAGGGAAATAGAATCTCTTATTTTTTTTCCATTGTGACCTAAATATAATTGTTGAGAAATGATGCTTCGTATCTTTCTGATAACATGAGATAACTGTACATAAATCTCATTATGCCCCGTGACAAAAAATTTCTTTGTAATGGTTTTGTTTATGTTTATTTGATTTTATTGGCACCTTACTTAGCTCATAGTTTCATTAGATTGCTGGTTGTTGTTGTATAAACCTTTTCGATAGTAGCCAAAGTTAGCCCACCTGTAACTGCATTTACAAAACGTGTTGATGCTCTAGCAGGGTTTCAGGTAGTGATCTCCAGGTCCATACTGGTTTGTGAATGTGTGTGTACATGAATGTGTGTGTATGGGAATGTGTGTGTACATTAATGTGTTTATGTCAGTTTATGGCTGCCTCTCTGTCTGTCTCTCTCCGTCAGTGCCTGATGTATGCACACAATGGAAGCAGGAGGAAGAAGAATTGATTGTCACTGTTGTTATTTATTTGTTCCGTTAAAAAAAGTGTGTGGAGAGGAGAAAGTCTTTTAAATAATGATTTGATACTGCATAGAAACATACACCTTTCTTCTTCTTCTGTACCTCCTCCTTTATCTTCTATCAACCAGTCATTAAATAG